CTCTTCTGTGCTACCAGGTGTGATCAACATACTGCTTATCAGTATTTTACAAGCAGTGGATTTCCAGGGCTTATACTTACTAGACCTACTGAAGAATATTTGTACTAACTGAAGCAGTTTTTGTAGCAAACTGTTCTGAAGTTAATTCATACCAGATGTGTTACTGGAGTTACTTGAGGTGACCAAAAGCCCTTTGTTGCTCATCTCAACTAAATACTAATGATCAACTTTTTGTTGTTGTTGGGGGGGTTTTTTTGGTTTTTTTTTTTTTTTTTGTTTGTTTGTTTGTTTGTTTGTTTTTAGTTTTGACATTCTGCCTGGCTTCCCAAATAATGGTTTCTGCTCCTCCAGTGAATGCAGGTTTGTCTGCCTCGTATACTTCCCAAAAGTGAAATCCAGAATTTGATCTTCATTCTGTGGATATGGGAACTGCTGCCACCAGCATAAGGTGTTGCTATCTTGCTGCTGTGATACAGCACTTGTATTTCTGACAGTGGCACCAAGCAATTCAAACCTATTAATCCCTGTCTCTTGACAAGAGCAGTGCAGGGTGGCTGAAGCACTGAACTGCTGAAGTGCTAACTCTGAAGAGAAATGTGTGCAGTTATGGGAATTTCATGTGTGAAACTTCTGTGGGTATTTCCTTTGTACTATCTGCCACTGCCAGCTGACCAAGAAAAGAAGTTGTGGTACAAGTGTCCTAAATTGTAACAAATGGTTGAAACAGATGACTCTATGGTATAACTGTAGATCTCTTTTTTATACAAATGAAGTCTTGTGCATAGGGAAAGCACAGGTATGCATTTCAATGGTGTGTCCAATTTTTTGGAGGCTTCTCTAGTTTTTGTGCTATAAAGCATACTTTGATGCAGAACTATGCATTGCAGTCAGGAAGTCCAGCATGACAAAAACATTTTGCTTCAGATGTGTGAATTAAAGAAAAACCAGTAGTCACTCTATGTGGGTTGTTGGTCATTTGTCTAAAGGAAGGCTTAAGCAGGGAGACTGTTATAAAAGCTGCTCTCAACACAACTGATGTGCATCTAGTAATTTAGTGAAGCAATAGTGTAACCTTTCATTGGAAATTTATTTTAATGACTTCTACTAGACAACTTCCCGCTTCATTTAGCTGAAGACCTTTAACACTGACAGGTAGAGTTGCATAGTCTTAACATTTGCTTTCAGAAATAAGTTGGCAAATGCTCTCGGTTAATATTAGGGGGAAAAAAAGGGAAGTTCTCAACTCAGATAGAAATAATGGAGGAAAGCTAAGTCTGCTCCAGGCCTGCAGAAGAGTAATATTTTCACTAATCTAGATACTGCTTTTCAATTTGGGGAATTTTTGGTGTTTTAATATTCCTCGGCATGATTCTATCGTAATTCTAAAAAGACAGTAATAATTATTGATTGCAATGCTTAGAAATTCTCGATATTGGGAGGTTTCACACTGTAGTAAGTCAGTAAATGTGTAAATTGGGAAAGCACAGTCCAGTTGTGTAACTACAGCAGGTAGAACCAGCTCCAAAGAATGCTGATATAACACTGAGAATTGCCAGTTTCCTTTTTATTTCCTTCTCTTTATTGCAGTCTAAATTTCTATACCCATACTGCTGAAAAGCTAATTTTTCTTTAACTCATAATGGTTTCCCCCATCTTAGACTTGTAGACAAAACTTCCGTCTCCTTCTTGTTCTAGAGAAACTGCAATATATGCCAGAGGTGCAGAGATGCTGGGGATCAGAGAGCCCTTTCCCATTTGGCATGTGCTGTGTCAGGGTTCTGCTTAATCTGTATCAGCCTTTCCTCGGACAAAGGAGCATGAGATGAACTGAACATCAGGATGTGTTCCAAACTCCCAGTGGAGATGCTCTATTGCCACCTGAGCAAAGGGAGGCAGTAGCCTACAGTACAGCAACCAGACCTGTTGTCTGGTCAATGAAATCAGTTAAAGCTTTTTGGATTAGCAGGGTTTTTTTCTCAAAGGAACTGACAACTTCAGAATCCAGAACCATCTGTATCTTGGAGCAGAGGTGGTGGTGGGAGAGGGGAGATATATGCAACCAGTAGAAGAAATTAATTTTCTTATAGCTAATAGATTTGTTAATGATTCTTTCTTGTTTTGCATGTTTGCTGTATCCTGTAAATGAAGCAGTGACCTTTATTCTACTAACAAAGTATTTTGATCTCTAAAGTTCCTGTAGTTCTTGGACTGTTTGATCCTTTTGTATATGATCAGAAGTAAATATGAAACACAACAGTTACTGTAGTAATTTTTTTCTAAGCTGTGTTTTGAAGTAGTTCTCTTCATGGTGTTCATTATGTGATCTGGAATTCATCAGAGATTCCCATTTTATGAATATTCAAACTGTCCCTAAGCTTGTCTCTAATATTCAGTGTGTGTGTTGCAGTGCCAAGGAGCTAAAATATTTTTCTTGTTAAATACTTTTTTCCATGCCCATTTGCAATTTTGCATGAGTTGCAAACGTCTGTCTTTTAAGTTCTTTCTGCTGCTTGGACACAATATTTATGGCCAGTAAGAAGGAAAAAGCTTATTGGAAAGTCAAACCATTTTCCATTTTATAGTATTTTGGAACTGATTGTCAGAAATTGAAACAGATTTGGGACTGATGTATCTGCCCAGGAAAAGGCTAGGGGGTTTTCTGTTGTTAACTATGCACTTATTAATTGTGGCAAAAACATTTAGTCACTTAGTTTGACTTTAGAATTGCTTGAGTATATGCTATTTCCCCCATTAACTCTCAACAGTAGGAGGGTAGTGTTAAATCTTAGTTGCCAGAAGTTCTTAAGGTCTTCATTTCCAGCCTAGGCAAGCGAGCCTAGAAATGCAGGTGAAATGGAGAGTACTGGCAGAAAAAGATGAGGAATGTATTTGAAATGTCAATATACAGACCAGGTTTCAGATGTACCTCAAATTCTCAATGGTCTGTAATAATCCATTTCTGTAGCATTGCAAATGGTTGGGTTTTTGTTGTTTTTTTTTCCTTGATTTGTTTGTTTGTTTGTTTCGCTGTTGTTGTGTTTTGGTGGGTTTTTTTATTGGTATTTTTCAATTTCTTAAACTGTAGCTAGCAAGCTTTGTTTGTAATTTTTTCCCTGTTTTCTACTTTTTCTAACTTTTGAAACAAGCATCCAGACCAGGTGAATAAGTGGACTTTGGCATAATGACTTTACTAAGTTCTATATATCTCTTGTTTTATCCTTCTCTACAAGCTGCATACTTTCATTTTTTTCTGAGTGACTTTTATTTCACTGCTTTATCTGGAGAATCTAGTATCTAGCATCTGTTCTTTTATTAGACAGAAATGCATTTTACCTTTCCAGTCTGGTCATTACTAGAAATGTTTTGCCAGTTTTTCTGAAGGCAAATTTGTCTGTTGCCTTTGTCCTGGTAAACTGTCATTATTCCTGTGAATAGAAGCAAGAATTTAATACTATGGTGTTTTACTTGAAAAAGGCTCAGAAGACTCCCTGGTTAAGAAAGGTGCTTTTCCCATGATTCAGATGCCCAGCATCTGCGTGCTGTTAAATTGACTTGCAGAAAGTGGATAAATTTTGGAAACCTGCTGTAAAAAGGACAAGTTCAACCCCTCCATCTACTACTGCTGAGGGAAGAGCTCTGGAAAGTGGTGCTTTTTGCACCCCTGCTTAAAATGTTCTTGTATTTCAAAAGGTGTGCTGCTTCTCTTCAGTTCATTTTTCAGAAAAGTAAGGCAGCTTATTCTTATATTTCCGTGGAGGCCAGATGTGCTGCTGGAAAGAAAGCAGTCAGTGTTATTATCGAACACAGTTTTTGCCTCTTCATCTCTGTTTTGCATGGCATAATCTGAAAGTGCTGAAAGCCTCTATTCTAAGGGAAAAGTTTTCATGCAAGGGAGCATTCAGAGTGCTTAGGACACATGGTTTTTTGCAATGTCATGCTGCTCTAGTGGAGAAGACCAAGTGTTTGATTTGTTGTGCACATGGTTTGGGATTAGATTTGCCGGCTGAACAGCTGAAACGTGTGTTTTTTCTCAGCTCTGCTTTTATTTACACTGAAGTAAATAATCTTTTGACCAGCCAGAAGTATTTCCACATGATACTCATGAAATTAAAATGTGGAGTGGGGAGTTCTATTTTCCTCTGGTTTTATGTATGGAGTTGTGTCTGGGTGAGGACATAACAACCTGCAGTTTTGAGACAGGCAAGACTTGGTGGTGAATGTCTGCCTTTTGGTATTTTTTGTTTCCTATCACATAGCTCGTATAATTTCAACAGAAATTATTTTATTGTCTCCTTTGACAGAAAATACTATTTTTTATTTAGTTTTTTTTCTTCCCCTCACCCTCCAAGTACAAGAAGAAACTCAATGTTCATTGCTGTACACTGAATCATGTTATTAGTAAAACCAAATGTTTCAAATGTTTCTTTATGTAGTACAATGCAGAGTCAGTGCACAGCAAAGCCTTTGTGTATCAAAACACTTAAAAATTAGGTTGGTTTTGTTTTTCTCTCTCCTCTTCATGCCAAATATAACAATTTATGCACAGCAGTGGTTACTTATATCTGCAGTTACTTGCTTTTCTTTTTCTGAATTGCTTGCTCTATGAACTACTTGCCTTTACCCAAATTGGAGTTGGAATACGTCTTGTATTTAAAAAAAAAAAATTAATAATTGTTTGCTAAAGTTAGAAGCCATTCCTTGGAAAACATTGTACGTATAATTCTGGACATGACAGAGAACAACCAGTCTTAAATCCTTAAGGTAAATTATCTCCAACAAGCTTCATGTGAGATTTTTATCTTTTAAATTTGTTGTTGCTGTTGAGTTTGCAGTTGAAATTAGGAAATGTCAGCTTCCTATGTGCTGAGTTGCTCTTTGTACATTCAGCCTTACCCCACATACTATTTCTGTAAGTTAAGGATAATTTGTGCTGATACTTCCTTAATGAAATCTTCTACATAAGCTGTAAGTCTCACTGTTACATTCTTTTCCACATGCAGGCTCGTGTTATGTATGATTTTGCTGCTGAGCCTGGAAACAATGAGCTGACAGTCAGTGAAGGGGAGATCATCACAATCACCAACCCGGTAAGAAAACTGAGATGGAATTGGCTTCAGTGCACTTTCCTGACCTACTTCTACCAGCATATGGAAGGAAAATGGTGCTGATGACATCTGAAAGTCCCAGGCTACCTTTCCCTGAAGAAGTAGCAAGAAAACAGAATACAAAGAATTTTCTAATAATCTTGTGGAAACAAATGCAATGTTTTGAAGCATGGGGCCTTTTCAAACTGTGCCTACACACTTAAGAATGTGTTCAGCTTTGTTTTCCTCTAAACAGAGTTGAGAGACAAGTAAGAGAAAGGAACTAATGATGGTAATAGCCTTTACATCTGAATGCCTTGTCTATTTTTGTGTACCTAATATTGCACATTTTGTGTGTATGTAATCTTTCAGGTGCTTTCCACTTATATTTAAATGTGACATCCAGCTCACTACTAGGTTACAAGTTTCTTAATCAATGACTTCAGCATTCCAAGTTTGGTGAAGAACTCACAACAAATTTTTTTACTGAATTTCTTTGTCCTTTCATAATTAAAGAAATATGGACAAGGTATAGGGAAAAAGTGGTGAAAATACTATCACAATGCTATCAGGGCATTGTTAAATGAATAGGACTTTTCAGCACTGACATTTGATTTATGTCCACATTTTGAATTTCAGTGTACTTTAATTGTCCTGTGTAATTCTTACCCTTAGTAACAAGGTATTAGTTGATTCTGCTTTGATTTTTGTGTAATGATATGGCTTAGTTAATAGACTTACCTTTTAAAACAAATACAAAAATCACCTGACCATGAAGCCAGGTCTTATTTATCTGTTTGTATAAAACACATGGATTCTGCAGAATAAACTTAATTCTTTGAAGATCCTAATCATGTGTAATCCCGATAATTTGTAGTTCCACTGATCCTAAAAACTTGAAGCAGATATTTAATAGAGCCAGCACTGTCTTGGATAGTGTGCTGTGCTGTGGCAGGGGTGACATTTTGATAATTTGGGAGCTTAAGGCCATTTCACAAAAGTATGACTAAATAAAAATAGATTACCATTTTTAAGCTAGTTCTCACTGACCAAGACATCTGTGGCTTAAGGCAGTGTACTCAAAACCAAGTAAAAGTTTGTTTTATGCTGTCTATGATAAATTGCCACAAAGGCTCTTGATCTTTTTTGATATACTAAGTTTAGATGGCAATAGCTTAAGTCATGCAGTCCACTGATGATTGCTTTCAAGTGTAGCAGTGCTAACATGACTTCTGGCTCAAGATGTCATTGCTCTTGCAGTTTAACCAAGATAGTTGAATATATAATCTGAGATGTCTAATTATTTCCGTGTTCTTCAGTATTAAGCTTTTAGGTATGTAAGAAAAAATAAATGCAAGCTGTTATTTCCCTAACTGCTTGATCTTTACTGCATAAAATCTTGAATACATAAGCAGGCTTTTCCTTATCGGGGTGCCTGTAAAATGCAGGATTACATGAAAGTATGAAAGAGCAAAATAGTGAATAAACAAGTACATCAATTAAAAAACAAATTAAGAAAACCTAAAATTCAGTATTTCCTGTCTAGCATATGTGTCTCCAATTTTCATCTGTGAACTAACTTGGCATGTAGCTATGTGTTCCCTCAACAGCTTGATTTAAAACAGAGCTGGCTTATTCCAGATAATGTCCTGGAATTAACTTCACTTAACTGCAAAGGTCTACAGAGTTTCCTTAGTGTATGTAGAATATGTTTTTAAAAAAACCCAAACAATATCAGGATGTCCCACTGAGATCAGAGCTGAACTGTTGTTAGTTCTTTCTAAACTAATAGCATAAGTCTGCCTCTGAAAAGAAATGTGAAGCAGAAAGAATTAATCCAGATCTTACATGACATCTTTTAATCTTGAGAATAGCCTTAACATTTCTGTGAGTGATAGCTCTCACTCATCATACGTCTCTGCACCTTCAATAAATGAGGGAGAGATTTTACAGATATCACCAACAGCTTAATTCTTTGAGTCTTGTTTCTTTATAGTCTATTGATTAAAATTAATTCATTGAAACTGACATACAAATAGATGTGTTTTTATGCAGTCTGTGGCCAGACAGTTGACTGTGGTTTCATAAATGATCAGAAGTGCTGAAAAATCAACCATTTTCCCCTTCATGCTTGTTAAAATCTAAAGTCCAGAATAACTGTGTAAAACCAGCACAGTCTGTGTTGTGTTTAAAAGAGTATCTGCTGCTTCAGCAGCTTTGAGTGAGTTTGTTCAGTTTCACAGTCATAACTGTGTTTTGAACATTTGACAGCAAGACAATGCTTCCTGCTGAGCTGTTTGAAGCATATTGTGGGATCTATCTAGCAAAATTATTTCTATATTACTTCTTTTAGGATGTTGGTGGAGGCTGGTTAGAAGGAAAAAACAGCCAAGGCGAGAGAGGACTTGTTCCAACAGATTATGTTGAGGTAAGTGACTGCACTGCTCTGCAGTAAGAAAGCAGAACTGCTGAAAAGGCCATCCTCTGATTTGCTGACCAGACTGAAATGCTCAAACAGAAAGCTTGGAATATATAATCTCATTGTAGCTGGCTTTGGAAATCAGTGCAAGCATGCTGTCCAAAGCTCCTGAGCTTCTTAGTGGTTTCCCAAGAAATGCAACAGAGATCTGTCTATAGTAAATACAGCTGATCTGCAGAACATGAGTTGTTTTGAATCTGTTTCGGAATTTGGGGATCTCATAATCCAGTAATTGGGGTTTTTTCTGTCTGAAGATAGAACTCTGGAAGTGAAATGAGTAATGCAAGTCTGCACTGGTGTTGCCATGGCAGACTTGCCACGTGCTCATAAATCTGGAATGGAGCACATTTCTGGGGCTCAGGATGTGGGTTACCAAATCCAGGGAGAACTCAGCTTTTCTTCTTACTGAGACTCTCTGTTGTCTCTTCAGTGTGTATTGTTCTGATTTTTGTTTAAAGACCAGTGGTATTGTTTTGGGGATGGAATAGGATCTCAGTGCAAAGACTAGAATCTCATTCACTCTTGGATGGCCCAGTGTCTGCATGTATGCAGGTTGCTGGTTAGGTGGGTGAAGACCTTGGCTGTAATTCCTGCAGCCTCTTAAGGCATGTACCTCTCTTCCTTCACCTGTGCTGTGTTTATTAAAAAAAAACAAAAGAGGGAGGATGGGAAGGGAAAGCAGGATCATGCTGGCTTATGTGACCTTGTGTTTTTGCTTCAGTTGGTTAGCTCATGGTCTGGTAGCTTTTGGCTCTCTAAACTTATTGTCCCAAATCCAACCTCTGAGCACTGAGTTCCCAGTCTGCAGGCACTTATATTGACAAACTTTTTATCCCTAAGGAATTTATAGATAGGTGTTCACTGCCACAACTGTCTTGCATGTTGTAATAGTAAGGTGAACTAGTTCCATCTGGTGTGGAAGTAAATCCTCCAGAGTATCATGGTCAGTTTCTTGTGAAAAATTCAATTGAATTTGAATTGTAAAAGGTTATATAAAAACATCTTAAAGTCTAGAAATATGAGTGTTAGGGTGATTATATATGATAAAGCATAATTTGGTTAATTGAAGCATGAAAAATCTTTTTCAACCTTTTTCATTTCAGATTATAACTGAAGGTGCAAAAGATGGCATTAGCTGCGGTAACTCATTAGCTGACCAAGCCTTTTTTGATTCCCTTTCTTCAAATACAGCTCAGACCAACTCTGCTGCCAAAAGCAGTAATCAGGTATGTCTTGTGGTTTTTCAGGCACTGTGGGCATGGAAAGTTTTATTGACGTAATTGCCTGCTGTACTGTATTTGTGAACCTTCGTGAAAGTACTAATTAAAGTAATTGTATTTTCATTAGAGAACACTTTTGTTGAATATTAATGATGTGTGTGACTACTCAGATGCTGTCACTGCTGGAAAATTTAGTAGTCTTAACACTTTCAGAAATGGAGCGTTTTTATTCTTTCCAGTCTGCAATGATATAAATCTTTGACTACTTCAGTCTCTGTAAGTGCGCTCAGCAAATTTATTTTATTTTCAAGCTACTTGTTTTGCTGTGCTAACCTTATTAAGGAACCAGAGCTTTCTTTTTTGATGTCTAATTAGGTGATCTATACATCAGCAGCTAGAGTGAAGTATTTCTTTCTCAGAATTTGAGTAAGAGTGGTTTTTGGATTAAAAAAGATAAAGCAAATTCATCCATTGTCAGTTGGAGAAGATGCTGACTTTGGGTTTGCTGCAAGAATATTTTTGTCCCTCTATTCATAGCTTTTTGCCTGGTTCACCAGTTCATTAAGCAGCAACTATTTAGTTTCAGGTTAGGTATCTGAGGACACATTATCTTAAACACAAGCTGTTTATTATGGTCTACAGACTGGTGCATGTCTCACATATAGGAAGTTAAACATTTGAAAGTCCATAGGTCAACAGAAAACAAAATCTGCCTTTTTCCCAACAGCAGCATGCAAAGATCTTTTGTGTTGGAAAGTAAATGCTTTACTTATGGTAACAGCTGGAGGGACACATCTGGTTTGTAGGTCAGTTAAATATCAGTTATTAGTTTTCTTAATTGCACGGCAGGAGTTTGACATGAAGTGAGATCTTTTGAAAACTCTACGTGGGACATTCCTGTATGACAGTGAACGTAGCTGTCCATTGACTATATAGTGTTTGATTTGGGCTTCCTTGTAGTCAGCTGGGCAATGCCAGGATTGTTATTCTGTGATCACATATACTCACTAGAGGACTCCAAACCTCACTGTGAATGTCTCAATGTTGTTTTTTTTTTAAATTGATACCTGGTTAATATGTAAGGCTAAACGTAGAATTCTTGAAATGCCTCATGAATTTTCCATGTCACACTGAGCCAAAGGTATTGATTATAGGTTAGTTTTCCCTCAGTAAAAATTGCAGTAATTTGAGTGCAGAGTGGGGGATTCCTTCTCTTCTGTGCTCTGTCACCCTTGCCCTATTTTTTTTTCCTGCTGTAGAGTTTCTAGCAAAACTTTACACCTGAGGAGACTCGAGATATTTGCAGCAGCTGCTTGCTGCCAAATCAGAGAATACTGTTTCTCAGAGGAGAAACATAACTTAATTTGATCTAGGAAAAATTATGAAATACACAGAAAATTTTGAATGCTGATAGAGGTATCTGTCAGAGCTTGTTCTGTGCTTAAGGACAAGATGCTTGTTCTTGGAGAAGGGAAGAAAAAAGGTTTTGCTTGCATAGAGGGAAAGGTTAAAATAAAGGTCTCTGTTATCTTCTAAATAAGAGAGAATTACTCCAGAAATCTAGTCTTGGAAGTTGTATTTCTAGAGGAGTGTGAAGCTTGAAAATATAGTCACTTTACACTGTAGTTTACACAAGAACAACAGTATACTGTCCCTGGCAGATGCAGGGTTTTTCATAGATTTTGGAAAAGAGTAACTTCATGAAAACAGCTTGTCACATTTGCATCAGTGCCCTACTGTTAAAAGTGTCCTGCTCCTCTCAGTTATCCATCAAATGCTGTGTGAGATAGCTGGGAGAACCACTGTACTGTAGTGCATGACAGTAAAACTATATTGCTGACATGGAGAGGGAGAGAGGAGGACAGTGTGCACCTGGATGCAGTCAGGGCCATGCAAGATGTAGTGGGGGCAGGTTTTATCAGGCTGGTGTCTTTGGGTCTTCAGTTTTCATGGGTTTTTTTCATAGGAGGAACCATTCTGTTCTGTGGTCAGGATTGCATGTCAAAAGTTATTTTCATTTTCCCAAGTCTTTTTTTCTTTAGCTGAGTTCAGTAACTGCTATTTGGTTATATGCATTTTCTAGAAAATTGTAGATCATGATTTGATGACTGGTTTCCTCAGCTTCTGACATATATCTGGTAGTTTTTTTCTAGTGGCTTATTGCTAATGGGATTTTAATTTGTATATTAAGCAGTCTGGAAGCAGTTCTGTCTTCCACTCTTGGCTGTTAGGCCTTTCTCCCAGATCAGAGAGCTCTCTAATGCAGGCATTTTCTCCTTGCAAAAATTCTGTGGCTAATTGTCTTCTTAATTAAGAAATTCTGTCCATTCATTCTGTCTGTGTGGTGCAAGAGCCTGTTTTCTTGCTCTCAGGAAAAAAAAGCAAGCTTTCTTCTGCAGTGACTCTGGTCCTGTGACGTGTGTGTGAAGTGCGTGCATTGCTCCTGTGTACATCGATTGTGCCATGCCAAATGGGTTTGAGGTTGCTGCAGCGGTGTGGAAACACCTGATAGAGTGAAGTGTTACATTGGTTGCAGTAATACTGCATCAGGAGGTCAGGCTGAGTCACTCATCCCCTGCATACTGACGTGTCTCTCTGAGCCACTTTCAGTAAGAATACAATCTCCTACTTTGTGAATATAGCCCTTCTTCCTAGATGTATTACTCTGAATTTGGTTGCGATAACAGTTATGTTCTTCAACGTAAAAAAAAGTTACTTTGGCTTGAGTTCAGATGCACAGTTGCAAGCAAGTCAAAGCCTGTTCAAGTGCTTTAATGACGGACTAGGTCAATATACAGAGTTTTTAATCTTAAACGAAACTCATATCCAGGCTATGGGGATTTAAAAAAATGACCAATTATATGTCAATATAAGGGGAATAGATGCTGGAGGTGGCACAGGAGTGGAAACTAAAGTGTTTGTAGATAGATTAGTCTGGTAGACGGAGTAAGAAATAGCAGTATTCCTAAATGCTGACTTTTGATGTTATCTATTATATTTTCCAGTAACGCAGTGGGGTTGCAAGTTTATTACAAGAAATCTTTATAAAAGCAATTCTAAATAAACAGGAAGTTTTAGGATTTTTCTTACTGCTATTGTATTGAAGAAATTGCTTTCTATAAACATTGTCACTCTAACATATACATGGTTGCACAACACACCCACTCCCCAATTCAGTAAGTCAGAAGGTGTTTTAATTCTTAGAATTCCTTCCATTCTTCTAACAGTAAGTTAAAAAAAAAAAAAAACAGGTTGTTTTGTAGTCTTTCAGTACCAAGCTTTTTTAAAAATAATAGATCTGGCTGAGTTGAAATGTGAGTGTGGGGCTTTTTCCCTTTTCTATTTTTAGGAGACAAATTAAACCACAGTGATGTGATTTAACCCTGGTAGGCAGCTTGACGCACTCAGCAGCTTATTACCCCCTCAAAGGAGTGGGGGAGAAAACCAGAAGAGTGAGCATGGGCAAATTCTTGGGTGGAGATAAAGACAGCATAATAGGTAAAGCAAAAGCTTCACATGCAAGCAAAGCAAACTAAGGAATTCATTCACTGCTTCCCATGGGCAGTCAGGTGTTCAGCCATCTTCAGGAAAGCAGAGCCCCATCATGCGTAGCCATTACTCAGGAAGAAAATGCCCATTCAAACAACTCCTCTTCTTCTCCCGTCCCTTTTTGCTTTCCAGTCAAACAAGAGACTTTTGGTTTCCTACTCTGGAAGCTTTTTGGTGTTAAGTAAACATCATTGACTCAAACACTGTTCTGCTCCCTGTCTATTTTCCTAAGAAGGTTTTTGTTGTTGTTCAGTAAATAGTCTCCTGAAAAGTAATTAGAAAGCAATAATTAAGAGCAGTTTCTTTTCCTTCCTTTTCTTCAGTGAGAAAAACTCAGTAACCACAGCAACACTTTGATATTGTACTCTACCTGGGTATGCCACAGTAGAAAAGGGGCACAGAGATGCTTCCTAAGGAGAAGAGAAGAATTCCACCTTACCCTTGGCAGTTCACTCTCTTCAGCTCATTCCTTGCATCAGCAGTGTCCCAGCAATGGCTGTCTTGGTAAAGTTTGCAGCTGCTCTTTTAAAGGCTGAGAAGATGCTGGGGACATTGAAGGAATCAGAGGAAGCAGTGAAGCTAATTAAACACAAAATGAGAGAAAATTTTGGCTCAAGGTGACTATTTACACACTCAGAAGAAAATAAGCAGATAAGAGAATTTAATGTTGCATCTGCCCATAACATTTGTGTCTCAATGACTAAAAAGCTTTAAAAAAGTTATTTGAGAAAATACAATTTAAGGAAGCCTTAGTTGCCAAGGATGGAGGCTTGGCTTGGGTTTTGTATGAGTCCCACCCGGTTTTGACCTGGTAGCCCTTGGATATAGAAAGAGCAGAGGGAATGAGTAATCTTTCTTCTCTGTCAGTCCATTGTTCCTCTGAGCAGCAATGCAAGGTGCTAATTTTAGGCTGTCATTTGGAACAGCCAGTGAGTAAGTATATCAGCACTTTTGCTATTTCTATTTGTTAGAATTGCATCTATCTATATCTATCTTAAGGTAAGTTACCTGTAGACTCTGTTGGTATTAGAATAATACTGGCAATAATGGCACTGAAATGAGTATAAATTTTGTTAGGTTAAACCAAGTGAACCTAATAAATGCAATGAACAAAAAGATTGTAATTTTTGATGTAAAATGCATCATGTGTTTTTCTCTTATAGTATTTCTTTGATGCTGAGTTTCTTCCAGGGGCTGTAGCAATAGAGGATATTCTGTTCCACACTTTTAGATAGTGCTTCTTATTGCAGTTAACCAAGAGGTTATTATCTTGGTGGCATTTGAAGCCTTCATAATTAAAGTATGTGTGGAAATACAATAATTAATGGAAAATTCATTCTGAGTTGTCTCCTCCAGCTGGTTTGGTTTGGGGTTTTTGTGGTGGTCAAGACTAGTGGTTTTCTAGTCACAGATGTATTCGCATTTATTTTGCTTGTGTTTCAGGTTCAGAGGCTGCT